ATCATCCAACTCAATCCACCCTTCCCACTTCCATCATCCAACTCAATTCCCCCCACCCCCACACCTCTTCCCCTTCCCACTTCCATCATCCAACTCAATCCACCCTTCCCACTTCCATCATCCAACTCAATTCCCCCCACCCCCACACCTCTTCCCCTTCCCACTTCCATCATCCAACTCAACCCCCCACACCTCTTCCCCTTCCCACTTCCATCATCCAACTCAATCCACCCTTCCCACTTCCATCATCCAACTCAATCTCCCCACCCTGCCCCCACACCTCGTCCCCTTCCCACTTCCATCATCCAACTCAATCCCCCAGACCCCTTCCCACTTTCATCATCCAACTCAATCCCCCACCCCTTCCCACTTTCATCATCCAACTCAATCCCCCACCCCTTCCCACTTTCATCATCCAACTCAATCTTCCCCTGTTCCCATTTTCATCAATCAACTCAATTATCCCTCCCAGTTCCCACTTTTGTCATCCAACTCAATCTCCCCTCCAACCCACCCCCCCGCCATTCTCACTCTCATTATTCAACTCATCCACCTTCCCCCCTTCCCATTTTCATCATCCAACTCAATCTCCCCTCTAACCACTGGCATCATCCAACTCAGTCCCTAACTTCCCCCCTTTCCACTTTCATCATTCAACTCAGTCTTCTCACACCTGTTCCCATTTTCATCATCCAACTCAAACTTGCCCCATTTCCATTTTCATCAATCAACTCAATCATTCCTCTCCCCCAGGTTTCCACTCTCATCATCCAACTCAACCACCACCCCCCCCATTCCCACTTTCATCATCGAACTCAATCTCTTAGCCCCCTTCCCACTTGCATCATCCAACTCAGTCTCCCCCCACCCCCATTCTACTGTCATCATCCAATTCAATTCCACCCTGTACCCACTTTCATATCTCGCGCCTTCTCCTTTCATCCCTTTATCCCTCATATCTATAACCTTCTTGAACGCTTCCAATATTTTGGCCTCTGTGGCAGAGAATTCCACACGCTCACCACCCTCTGGGTGAAGATATTTCTCCTCATCTCAGTCTTAAATGGCCGATGTTCTTCGGTTCTGGACTCCCCAGCCATCTGGAATATCCTTCCTGAATTTCCCTTGTCTAGTCCTGTTTTCAGAATTTTATTTGTTCCCATGAGATACTTCCTCATTCTTCTAAATTCCAGTAAATGCAGTGCTGACTGATGTGGTTTTTCTTCGTACATCAGTCCAGCCATCTCAGGAATCAGTCTGTTTCTTTTTGTTGCACTCTGTCCATAGCCATAACATCCTTCCTCAGATAAGGAAACCAAAACTGAACATAATACTTCAGGCGTGGTCTCACCAAGGCCCTGTACAATTACATCAGGACATCCCTGGTTCAAGAACAAAGAACAATACAGCACAGGAACAGGCCCTTTGGCCCTTCAAGCCTGCGCCGACACATTTTGCCCTTCCAAACTAAAATTGTCTTCGCTTACAGGATCTGTTTCCCTCTATTCTCTTCCTATTCATGTGTTCATTGAGGTGCTTCTTGAAAGCTGCTATTGTGTCTGCTTCCACCACCTCCTCTGGCTGCGAGTTTCAGGCATTCACCATTCTTTTTGTGAAAATGTTGCCTCGCACATCTCTTTTAGACTTGCAGAAATAGCAAGAACTGCAGGATCCTGACCCGAAATGTCAACTTTCCTGCTCCTCCGATGCTGCCTGGCCTGCTGTGTTCCTCCAGCTCCACACTGTGTTGTCTCTTTTAGACTTCCCCCTCACACACTGAACCTGTCTCTCCTAGTAATTGACTCATCCAGTATAGGAAAGAGCCTCATACTTTCCACTCTAACTACATCATTCACAATTTTATAAACTTCCAGCAGGTCACCCCTCAACTCCTGCATTCCAGTAAAAACAAACCCAGTCTATCCAACCTTTCTTCATAGCTAAATTTCCCCATACCAGGCAACATCCTAGTAAACCTTTTCTGTACCCTCTCCAAAGCATCCACATCCTTCTCGTATTGTGGTGACCAGAACTGTATGCAATATTCCAAGTGTGGCCTAACTAAAGTTCTATAAAGCTGCAGCATAACTTGTCTATCTTTATACTCAATGCCCCTTCCAATGAAGGCAAGCATGCCATAGGCCTTTATTTTTCCAACCTATCTACCTGTGCTGCTACCTTCTGTGATCTGTAGACCTGCACACCCAGATCTCTCTGCATATCAATACTTCTAAGGGTCTGCCATTCACTGTATAATTGCCACCCGTACTTCCAAAATGCATCACCTCACATTTGGCTGGAATGAAATGCATTTACCATTTTTCTGCCCATGCCTCCAACTAATCTATATCCTGCTGTTTCCTCTGACAGTCCTCCTCACTATCTGCAACTCCACCAATCTTTCTATCATCAGCAAACTTACTAATTAAGACAGCTACGTTTTCCTCCAAATCATATACTTAGATCACGAACAGCAGGGGTCCCAGCACTGAGCCCTCCATTCCGAAAAGCATACTTTCTCTGCTACTCTCTGTCTCCTGTGACTAAGCCAATTCTGTATCCATCTTGCAAGCTCACCCCTGATACCATGTGACATCACCTTTTGTACTTGGATCACATTGCAGTGAAGGTCTTTTGCCTTCTTCATCGCTGCACCTGAAAGTTTACTTTAAGTGACTGGTGGACCCAGGTCTTGTTGCACATCCTCTGTTCCTAATCATTCAGATAAAAATCTGCTTTTCTATTTTTCCTACCAAATTGGATAACCCCACATTTATCCATATTATACTTCATCTGCCATGTATTTTCCCACTCACTTTGTCCAAATCCCATTGAAACATCTCTGCATCCTCCTTTCAGCTCACCATGCCATCCAGCTTTGTGTCGTCTGTTAACTTGGAGATATAACAGTTAGTTCACTCATTTAAATCATGAATATTTGTTGTAAATAGCTGGAGTCCAAGCACTGATCTCAGCTATTAACGACTTCACTTCCATTTGGTCATTTGGTAGACTGAGTACCTGAAATTATGTTAAATTTCAGAGAAGTGAGCAGATATAGGAGATGAATAAAGTAGTGGAGACTGGCACCAATTAAATTAATTATTTTATATTGTTATATGAAATGCTTATGTTGGTCATAACAATTACAAGTATTATTAGATTGAAGGGTTTACAACAACTGTATTAAATGTCACATTAATATTGTTCTGTTAATTTTTCTGATGTGTGCATTAGCCATATTGACTGTTATTTGGTTATATTACTTCGATAGCCTGATAATGGTTAAGTAACTGTAAATTGACGTAGGGATAAGCAGATGAGGAAGAACAATATGTGGGACAGAAAAGGATGGAATTGGGAAAAGAGAGGGAGTCATACTGTTAGCATGAGTCCTACCTGAACCAAGCAGGGGCTAGTGTCCTAGAGAAAAGGCTATTAAGTTAATTGCTGAGACTTTAAACTAGTTAATGGTGGGGGTGGTTGTGGGGTTGGGGGTGGGGTGGAGTTCAGATGGAATACGGTGGATAAACATTATAATCATTCCAAAACAATTGAAGGAAACAGCATACAGAAACTGGGTTTTTAGATACTACAGATAAAGGGGAAATTAAAAGATGTAAAGTTATTAATCAAGGAGACAGAAAAAAACAAATGAATAAAACATAAGAATCAAAGGACAGCTTATGGTGTGTGATCCAAATAAACATTCTTTATACAATAAAATAAAACAAAGAGCTGCAGATCCTGGAGATCTGAAACAAACGCAGATAATGCTGAAAAAACTCAGCAGATCTGGCGGCATCTATAGAGAGGGAAACAGTTAACGTTTCAAGTCGAGTGATCCTGCTTCAGAAGCATTCTTTATACACAAACATAGAACAAATTGAATAAACTGGAATAGTTTAATTCAAGTTCAGTTTGGATAGTATGACATGGTAGCCAGTATTAAGTCAAGGCTGCAAAATTGTTGAGTCTGGAAACAAAATATACCAGGTTAAAGAGGATGCAAGAATAAGAACGGAAATGATAAAAAGGAAGAACTGTAGTTCTAGTATTTACTGAGAAGATGACTTCATTGAAATTAGAGGATATAACAAAAAGTAAATCACATGATGTAGATTTTATGGGTCAAATTAAGAATTAGAAAAAAATTTAAGACTATTGTTGGAGTGGGGTATCAGCCACCAGGTAATAGCTGTGAAATGATGGATTGTACAAATGTAGTGATTAGACAAGGAGGAAAGGCAAAGTAAGACCATAATATGTAGGAACAGAAGCAGACCATTCAGCCCATCAAGTCTGCTCTGCCATTCGATGAAATCATGGCTGATCTGATAATCCTGAACTCCACTTGCTTGCCTTTTCCCCATAACACCTGATTCGCTTAAGGATTGACAAATCTGTCTGTCTCTACCTTGTATATACTTAATGACCCAGCCTTAACAACTCTCTGCGGTAAAGAATTAGACAGATTCACTACGCTCTAAGTGAAGAAATTCATTCCTCATCTGCCTTAAACCTTGTTCTGAGATGATGCCCTCTGGTCCTAGACTCTCCCACAAGGTAAAACAATGTTTCTGCATCTGCCTTTTCAAGTCCCCTAAGA